ATATCATCATGGATTCTGCGTATTTTTTGGTTCCATCAAGATTTACGCTTCCTTGATCGGTTTGATATTATTGTAATACATGATGATTTCTATTGCATTCTAGTTATCTCTGATAAATTGTAATGGATTGTGTTGAGTTATAGCCAATGGCGGTAATCTGTGACCGCTTTTGGTACACTTCTAGAAATATATTCTAAAATCTCTTAGGACTCTAGAATCCGCTTTTCTCCGTCAAACTAAGGATGTCAGAACTTAGAGCAACCCTCTAGGGTGTGGGTGTGGGGTGTGAGTGCACTAAAATAAAAGAATCACACCCACACCCACACACACCCACACACACCCACACCCACCCACACCCACACTCACACCCACACCCACACCCACACTCACACCCACACCCACACCCACACTCACACCCACACCCATACCCACCCACACCCACACCCACACCCATACCCACCCACACCCACACCCCACACCCTCAAGATCGAGATCATTTTTTTGGAAAACTCCACACATGTAAAGGGTATGCAATGAACACCTTCCCTTTAAACTGTTAATCATTTTTTTCATACTTTTGTTTGATGTAAAGATCTGAAATTTTTATCGCATATACGTATAATCTAATTAAATATGATATTATGGTGGCCAATGAATTGTATAATAATATTCTTATAAACAACGACTTCGATTACAATATTAAACACCTCATTACAAAACGACATAATTGATATAGAATAGACAAAAATATAAATTAATAGTTATAATTTATTTATTTTTTAATCATCAACACTATGAGAAAGAAAGAACAAATTAGCAACATGAACTGTTAAGAAAATACAAGGAACACAATAATTAATTATAAAGGTACAATTAAAGAAAAAAAATGTAGGCTCGTATTTAATGATTCTCGTTATTATTTGACAAGTTAAACTTATAGCATTGCACCACCATGGAATATTCAAAAAAGGCATTAAAGATGTGGAAAATATGTTCATAGTTAGACAATCTAACAAGAAATTGTCTATTGCTTTATAATTAATATCTATATCATTAATTTCTTTTGTAAAAAAATCAATAAGTTTTCTGTACCTGTCGTAAACGATTTCTTGTTTTAAAACATAAAAAACATGAGTATTATTGAAGAAATTTGGCATATCATATTCTTTTAAATGATCTAATAAATCTTTTTTATATTTTGTAAACCATAGCATAACCATATGCATCCAAATAAGATGGAATAATACACGTACTAAGCCAAAGAAGTATGCCAAATCCAACTAATGTCATTATTATTTTATACGAACCATTGTTGGTAAAATTGTGAATTCTATTTGTGAAATCAGAAATATTTTTATAATATTTCATCATCTTTCTGTAGAGTAGATCTTTTCTAAATCTTGTTGGATTAGCAACTGGTTGAATTTCAGTAGTTGTTCGTGCAATATCAGTTGGTTGAATTTCAGTTGTTGTTCGTGCAGTATCACTTGGTTGAATTTCAGTTGTTGTTCGTGCATTATCAATTGGTTGAATTTCAGTATGTGTTGAAGTTTTATGTTGAGATTTTTTTTTCTATTACGTTTTTAAAAAGTACTGCTAAGATTCCTTAAAAGTAAATCCTCCAGAAGCGAAACTTATTTCAAATGAGATTAAAATCGAAGCTTTTCTTTAAAAAAATATCTATTAGGATGATAAGAAACATGTGATTAGTAAACGTTCAACGACATAATAAATTAAAACACATTTCAAGAGGCAAAATGAATTTATAACTCGAGGTATCAATAATAGTTTAGCTCATAATTTTTTATCGAATGTAATCTTCATATGAAAACTATTATAAATTCATCTTAGATATATTACTAAATGTATCTAATATGAAATTTTATAATTGCATATATTGTCAACTATGTCAAATAACCATTTTTTTTGAATGAGAAAAGCTTCTTTGGTTTTCATTAGAAACAAGCAAATAATTACGGAATCAATTATCTATTTTACTGTAATAAATAATTTAAATATATATGAGTTATTATGAAAAGTATTTTATAATAGAAAAAATGACGGATGATGTTCTGCATGATCAGTAAAACAAATATTTTTATCTTTTTTATTTTTTTTGTACAGATTTATCATTTAACAACTTTTGTTTCAGTTTTGGCAATATATATTCTGAAGTTGGATAAGCATGGTGATCATGATGTGACCAAATTGTTGACGACTTTTATTAATTGTTTACTACACAACAAAAAGTAGCTCATGAAATCATGGACTCCGAAGAGAGCAAGTTACGTCTCGGCAAAGAACAAATGATATGTAATAATAGTACATCTGACGATGTTATGTTGCCTATGATAGAATGCAAAAGCAATGATCATCGTCTATGATTGTTACAATTTGATTAACAATAGTTAGAGTTCGAAAGAATTTCATTTCACACCCACTATCAGTCAACAGTCAAATTCATTTCATATTAGAAAGCTAGAATACGAGTCTCTCTATTTTAATAAAGCAAAGAAAAAGAATGATGCAAACATTCAAAATATATCACTAGTCAGTTGAAGTTTGTAGAACAGTAGATTTTGTATACATTTGTAATATCCATTGTTTCTAACAATACTGAGATTCGATTATTGAGTTGTGTAAAATCCAACAATAGCATGATATACAAAACAAATGACATAGTTCCTGATGATCATTGATAAATAGATGTGGATGAATGAACTTATTTATTCATATATACATAATCTTTTAGTACAAACTATTTATTGCACCAAATTTGTTAAAATATCGCTGATTTTCTATTTTTCGAGCTAAGTTTTTTGAAGAAATCTATACAAGTTACAAGCAGCATTTATCAAAGAAATAAGGTTAAATATAACTACCAAGAATAATGGAAAAAATGATTGAAAATACACCTATAATAAGAGTTATAATTAATTTTTCTTCTTTGATATTCCATTGTTTTTTTATTTTCTTTGCTTAGCGATAAAAGCGGGCACGTTTTGAATGACCATCAACAAGAGATTCATTGAGAACATAGGGTAATGCCATTCGCTCACAAAATACACGTAACGGATCATCGACATTGTAAGGCATTAAACTTTGCAGCGGTGCATATGCGGCGACTAGTGTACCGCATATCATACAGCCAATATAAGTTATGTTCTCATAATATAGAATAATATTAGTGCCAAAAAGAATAATGATGATGGCAAGTATAACAAGAGTACAATGCAAAAAGCGAACAGTACGATGCCATATATATATCATGCCAATAACTATTAGTGAATAATAGACTAGTAAAAGTTTATTGTGTAAAAAATAAACATTTATATGTGTTTGAAGAGAACAAGGCAAATTGGTAAGATTATAACAACCATTAGTCATCAATAATTGAAGTTCAGCTAAACGAATATGTGTAAAAGAATAAGATTTGTATTTAACATGATAAGACATGATATATACGAAACAAAAGAAATGACCAATGAATGATAAAATAAAGGAGAGAAAATATTGATAGAAATAAATTTCGACGGATTTCGAATAACATAGATTTACTTTTTCTAAATAGAATACAATAAAAATTCGTTTTTGCTTAGGAAAACTTTAATAATTGGAATTTTGAATATCTATGAAAGTATATAAATAAATCTGCAACTATATTTTAAAAACTCATCAGTAACAATTTACGTACATCATAATGAATGTTTTTTTTTAAATCTTTTCTCTCGTCATTAAAAATATCAAAAAAAAAAATTATTGAAAAATGCTCATATAATTCTCCGACACAGAGAAAATCCAAAACTAGAAAATGAACCCGAACATTGATTATTCGATTTGCAAATTTAAATTCGCTTTCAAATATAAGATTAATTTTTCAATAAAAAAAAATCAAAGGACTGATTGTATCAAAAAAAACTCGAAGAAAAAAAGAATAATAGCAGATTTATTTGGAAATGTCAATCTTACCAGTTACATTCATTGTTTGCGTTGATTGGTTGACATGAATAGTTGGTGCCCATCTGGAGATCGGTCGTTTGAATGCAAAAGAATGTCTTGTATGCACTAACGGTCGACCAACAATCTTACCAACGTTTCTCATACATCTAGCGTTCGTTGCTGAATGTAATACGCCACTTCGATACTTTATCAACATATTATGATAACGAAAAATGTTTAACTTGATGGCTAGAAAGAAGAAAACAAAAGATTAATTTATTACTTGAGTTATAAAAAGAATTGTTTTTAAAGTTTCTTTTTTCGAGAACGGAAATAAAATTCTCAAGATGAATCTACCTGTTAATGTATAAACATTTTTACCATTTTTATTCAATGTCAATACAAATAGCAAGAAAACAAAAGATAGAGAAAGAAAATTGTACTTTTTATTTCTTCAAAATTGGTATCAACTAGGAAAGCAAATGAGTTATTTCTTATACATGTTACTATGAAAAACTAAATATACTTCTTTAAGGTATTGTTTTATCTGCAATCTTCCATTACTATATTTATTTCTGTCGAGTTTTTAATATTAAGTTTTATTAAAAAATAATGATATGTTTCGAGAAGCTATCGTTGAAAAATTAATCAAATCGATCACATTTTAATATTTTGACATTTTTATAATATATTGATTTTGATTATTTATATGACTAATATGTAAAATCTCATTGTTCGTTCTTCCTTTTCTTAAGAGAAAATTCTCATTCAGTTTGACAATGGAATTTTAAAGAAAATGGCATATAACCTTGCCCGTCAATCATTGGTTCACTACCAGCGCCTTATACTGGTTTACGTTACTTTTACTCACCGGTTCATATTGGATCGATCAGCAACAGTTACTAGTTAATATCTGTTGTCATCATCCGTTTCATACTCTATACTAAATCTCCAAAATCATGTATATTTTAAGATATGCAAAGGAATAACTCGAACAGTACATATTCTAGAATATTTGCAAAATTTTTAGCTAATTGTGTTAAAAAGAGATTAGATGAAATAGCACTCTTGTTGTATATTGTCACACATTGGAAAAGAAGAGATATAATTTTAGATCGTTTCCTAATGGACATGAATTAAAAAAATATAAAGTCATGTGCAATAAATTTTACTATTTTGTGTGATATAAGGAAGAAGAAAATTTTTGTATAATTATAAAAATCATATCAAAAAGATCAATGTTTGATTTAAATGTATATATCTTAGTGAATTTTTTCATCAGAAATTTTTGAAAACGAAGATTTACTACTAAAGTCACTCAAGAACAATAAAATAATGTCTTACTAATTTACTAGAAAAATAACTTTGCTTACAATTTGTTGTATTGTCAGAAATAGAAATTGATTAGAAATGATTGTCGTTACGCGAAGATGAATATTTTTTTGTACTTATCCTATACACAAGCAAAAGTATGAGCAAGTATATATATATATATATATATATATATGTATGTAGAAGCGATTGATGAATAAACTCGTTCGCTTCTCTCGTTTGCGCGTTGCTATAGATACGATAAAACAAGAAAAATATTTTTCTAGAATTTATTCTCTATGCTGTGACTTTTCTTTCGTTTTTGCTTTATTTTCTTTTTTCGTTGCATGTAATATTATATCAATAGAAAGTCACAATATACAACATAATAAAGGATAGAAACAATGTAAATGTAGTACGCGATCTGATGATATATGAAGCATAGCGATCAATGTCGAAATCGAAATTCATTAATATACTGTAGTAAAATTCACTTTTAAGAGTTCACTTTTATATTAAGTAAAGTAGAACACTAATATAAACTACTTATGCTATTAATTTCTCGTGATCAACTGAAACTTTGGAGTAATATACGAAAACTATGAAGTTAATTTTGCAACATCTAACATTCCATATAATGTCTTATATTTATGCTGAACCGGCACTGTTAATGTGATATTTATATTGAGTCTCATCCTGTCTACGCTAGAATACATTTATTGTGCTGGATTTGTTTTTCAGTAAGTAGCCGCAGATTAAGCCATAAATATACAGGTTCATGGAATACTTCAAAAACTTTCAGAGTGTATAATTATGTTTTAGCAAGAAATATGTTTTTATAATGACGATATATTTCAACTATAGACTTTAACTATTTTCTAGTAGTATATGCACTGGTCAATCAGCATAAAATTCAAGAAAATCAAGTAATTGAAGAAGATGGTCATCTATATAGTTGGATGGTTATCCTTCAAATCTGTATGCCTTGAGATATGATCAAATACTTTTCGTCTTTACCTTCATCATCTTGCTTTCTTCTTGAATTTTCTTTATTTACCTTGAATTCAATACTATAGAACAAGGGAAAACAGTAGAGACTTTAGCCTTGAAGTCTGTTGAGATCCGATAAATCTTCTAAAATCTCTTGAAGTTCGGCGAAGTCTACTGTTTTCTTCTTGCTGAATAGTCTGCTGCTTGAATTTCTTCGAATTGCCAGTTTTGTGGAACGTGGATATTGTTATAATGACTTAATTTAAAGAAATTATTCATCTATTAACTTTGCTGGATGATGGATTATGAGTCATACTCACCTTGTCTTTTTTCTTTTCTTTCAAAACTTTGATGCAATTACATTTTGAATTTTTATTCTCTTTATTTTTCTGCTTTTGTCGATATATGATACACAAAATGGAATATGTTTTCAATGCTCAAACTAATATTTATTTACCAAGAGATCTTGCTTTCTCAACAATAGATCTTCAAACCAGAGATGTCCATCGCGGCGCGGCAGCGGCAGGTTTTTTAAAAAATCACCGCGGCAGCGGCGCGGTAGCGGCAGGGTTTTTAAAAAACCATCGCGGCAGCGGCAGGATTTTTTTTGGAGGACATTGAAAAACTGTATGAATTTAATAGAATTTCAGGATTTACAAATAAAACGCCCGGATATTGAATAAATCTGATGGACTAGTACCCATATCTCTGGTCAAATATAGTCACAGCAGTGAAATTAGAAACACTTTTTTGAAAGCCGTCGCGGCAGCGGTGCGGTGGCGGCACGTTTATTTTATAATTCATCGCGGCAGCGGCGCGACAGCGTTTCTTTTATAAGTCATTGCGGTGCGGCAGCGTCGCGACAACATTTTTTTATAAACCGTCGCGGCGCGGCAGCTGTTTTTTTCTAAGGCCGCGGCGCGGCAGCGGCAGATTTTTTTTTCTAAGGCCGCGGCGCGGCAGCGGCAGATTTTCAGCCGCGATGGACATCTCTGCTTCAAACACATTATTTTTATTATAATTACACGAACAATATACTTAATTGTAAATTATTTAAAAAAAATCCGTATAGTTCATATTTTAAACAACTTTATCCATCTACCATCAATGAATATCAACTAACAGATGATATATTAAATGTTCTAAAATCGTATACTGATAGTCAATCAAATGAATGTTATATGAAAACGAATTTCAATTTATTAAGTACTAATTTAGAACATATTGATTGGATTTGTGTTAATAAATTACGTTCATTAATACGTGGATTAGCTCAATCAAATATCAAACATATTAATGCCGTAAAACCAGACGGGCTCTGGTGGGCACAACCAACCCTAGAATTATTTTGGCTCTTCCGAAAAATTCATTTATTCTTTATGTCTTTTGCGCAGAAATGTTCTTTTGATCGTCCTTCAACTGTGTACGGCCGTCTTTTGCACTAAAACCGAAGTGAATTAGAAAAAATATCAACTAGTTCTTCACCGTTTTGTTGAAATCCCAGTGCAAATTAGCGAAAAACACCTAAGTTTATCAAAAAATCACTTTCACACGGATGTGCTCGTTGTGAGATACATGTTGGGAGAGAAAAATTCGAACAAACTCGACAAATTTCAATAAATCTTTGGCATCATCCCCACAGAAAAATGCGAAAAATTTTAGTATTTCGGATGAGCCTAATATTCCAATGTGTCACTACAACGAAATCCAGTTTGTCTCAGACCATTGTAGACTGATTTTACGGCCATTAATCTCATTTATTTCATTTTCAATTTTACTTAGGAGATGAGATCTGATTGTCATTTGATTTGAAATAATGATTGTACAGTTGATTTCTACTCATGGTAGTGCAATCCTTAAAATTTTTCGATTTGACATCAGTCAGATAAGTATTTTGCTATTTTCATGCTGAAAATTGATTGAAATCTGCAGTCTATACTTGTGAGCCTGCATGCTTAGCTAAATAACTGCCTGAAGAAAGAAAGAAAGCTACACCGTCTACTCAAACGCATGAAAGTTTCTAAAAACAACGTCCTTGCCAGCTTGAGGGTGTGGGTGTGGGTGTGTGGGTGTGGGTGTGTGGGTGTGGGTGTGTGGGTGTGGGTGTGGGTGTGGGTGTGGGTGTGCGTATGGGTGTAGTTTAAGAGAATGCCAACACCCGACCCACTCCACACTCATACTCCACACCCACCCACCCCTCCCCACGCCCCCCTTCACACCCACCCACACCGACACCACCGCGCATCCCCACCCACCCACATACCCACACCCGACATCCATACCCCTGCACACACCCACGCCGACCCTCACACAATCCACTCATACCTACCCACACCACGCACATCCAGATCCACCGACAGCCACAGCCACACCTACATTCACACTCACACTCATACTCACACACCCACATCCAGATTCACACTCCATCCACATCCCCACACCCATACCCACACCCGATGGATTGTTTTAAAAAAACACAAACATTAAAAAATCCATCTGTAATTTTGTGTTCCATATAAAGAAAAACATTTTCGATACAGTTCTTCATTACCTTTTCTTTTCGTCGGTATTTTTTTGTAAACAGCTAAGATGAGTTGCAAAAAGAAACAAAAGAAATAGAGAGAACTTCTATCCTTTGTATAAATGTCATTGCTTGACATTTAATTTGTATGAGAGGAGTGCGTAGAAATACTGTATTAAAGAAAACAATCTGTTCTATTCAAATTCAAAACTACGAAAATGTCTGTATGGGTAAGTATAAGAGCAGAGATTATCATCGAACTATTCATCTATATAGGATAAGTTGAGTTCAGTGCCTTTACCACACGATCAAAAACAGGTTCAAGTCAATGTACAACCTCTATCCTATCTGTATCCATCGAAAATTGCTTTGTCAAAGAATACCAATCGAATTACACCTGAAATTGATTCATCAAGAAGAGTAGATGGTGCCGTATCGAACCACGATATATCAAAACTAGCATCTTTTTCTGATCCAACTATTGACCGTTCAGAGGCTTGGTCGAGTTCGAACATACTTAAAACGAGCAAGAAGCGTTCATGGATACGATCTCAAACGAAATTGACTTCATGCATTAAGTAAGTAGGATGACACGAGCTAATCTTGCACACAGATAAGTTTGTTCATCGATAGTTCGCGATGAGAAATATTAAATTGAATTAGTTAAGTCAGTTGTGAGTAAGGATATGCTTTCAACCAAAATTCACAGATTCCACCTTTGTATATGACGAACTATCGTATTAAAAATTCATTCTGTTTTCAGTCTGATGAAATCATACAAATGCATTGGTAATCAAAGATTGATTTGTAGTTTATTTATTCTTCACATGCATTCGACTGGTTTATTAGTGATCTATCTAAAACAGCAGATTATATCGAATTGTCAGAGATCAATCAAAATATCTGCTAGATTTATTCCAGTAAAATATTTCTTAATCTTATTTATAAGTGAAAACATTCTTCTGTGTAATAGTGAGCGTTGTTAAAATTAGTTCATACAGCTCGAACTACTTTCTCTTTTAATTGACAAATACCTCCAAATGAACTATGTCATTTGATTCATCATCTTCGTCATCGATTGGGTTAAAAACAAAGAAAATGAAGTTAGTTTTTTTTATCTAAAGCAATTGGGAATTCATTCTATCAGATAAATTCAATTTTGAATGTATTAGTGCAAACAAATTTTGTTAACTTCTGGTTTAGATCGGTAAAATTCCGATTTATGACACTTGGTGTTGTCTTGGGCTTATTGATGAGTTTGAGTGTTATTATTCCTATTGTTATCATTTGGCAAACAGCCGGTAATGATGCTATTCAATTTTTCAATCATTCTTTCTCTCTTCTTTCTAGGTTCAAAATCCAGTGCAGCCAGTTCTCCATCTGTATAGATCAATTCTTTATTTTCACACTGATCTCATTTGTTTTTGTTTCTTTGCTTCATTCTTCTAGTCTAGTACTGTAGCAAGCTTATCGAGTTCTTCACTAATTGTTTCAACTGAAATTGGAACATGTGGTAGCTATTTCTGTGAAAACAAGCTGTACTTCTTTTCAAATATGACCATAACTGCACTTTCCTTAGTTATCACAGTTCAACGAACAGCAAATTCTACATATTCTGGTGCCTACAGTAGCTATTCTCCTACGATTAACTCAATTAATAATATCACTAGTTCGCAAATTATTTACCAATTTTTTATTCAAACTGGACAATTACCAGCTGGAAATTATACATGTGTAGGTCAATACAATCTTCTTAATGTGAATCATGCAACTAGTGCTGATACCTACTCGATAAGCACAACAAATATATGTGGAATGACTAGTTCAGCCACTGGAAATTTTCCATGAATGTGAGACAACCATCGAAATCATCTTTCATCGCTGTTAAAACTTTTTGCACGCGAAGAAATAAATGAACGTAACTAGAATAATTATAGACTTTATGTTAAAATAAGGATTAGGCGAGGTTATGACATTGATACCATAATGAAAAAACAAATTAACTAATAATGGATGCTAATCCTCAGAGATTTCCATCAGATACGGCATGATTCAATTCTTGTGATACGCTGATGAATCACCGATTTAGTAGATTTGAGGATTTTCGCTGCCAATCCATTTAATGCTTCATGGTTTCATGAGCGCTTACGATATTTTCTCTTTGCAAACAAATATCAGTGCAGATCTGAAAAAACTAATAGAGTCCTAGTTAACAGCCACTGGTAAACACTGGGTGTGGGTATGCAAGTGGGTGTGGGTATGGGTGTAGGTGTGGATGATGTGTGGAGTGTTAGTGTGAGTGTTGGCTGGTGAGTATGACTGTGGCTATGTGTGGGTGGATGTGGGGTGCGAAGAAATGGAAGACACAGTCATACCCACCCACATACTCTCACCATACCGACACCCACCCACTCTTCATCGGAGAACAAATCGAGTGACTCGGATCTCTCACAGCATTCTTTTCATGGTCAAGTTTGTGAGGTTTATTTGCCAAATCATTATTGATGTTTGACTTCGAGTGAACCATTGGATTCATCAGAAGATATTGGGAAATGCAGAACAGATTAGCAAGAAAACGAGACTGTAGAAATACGATGAACAGTGATTTATCCATCAAAATATGCATCGATAGCCAATATTTCTTCAATCTCTCATGCCAAATGTGATTCATACTGAAGCGAGTTTTAGATGAAGTAAAGAAGGAGTGAGTCTTTTTTTTCTTCGCATTCTCAACAAGTTGTTTCAATTCTAAGGAGAATAAACTCGGCATTTCATCTGAAATATTCTTTGAAATCAGACCATGTCTCTTTACTATACGACCAAAGGACACCAGCCGGATGGTATCAGGGAAAGAAACGAAGAAGTCATTCCAGTATCATTTCTACATTATCATGTTGAACAACAGAGAAAGAAACATTTTCAAGATTTAGAAAAGATACGAAGGTAATTAGTCAAGAGAGATGATGGCTCGATGGAAGACTTCGGCGAATTCATCGGCTAAAGTCGATATTATTTTGTACGAAAATGAATTCCGAGGATGACCAAGCTGTACTTCAGTAATGGCATTCAGAATCGATCTCAAACACTCATCTGATGTGACATGAGTGTTCAATTCTTGTGCTAACTTGTATTTAGCATGAGTGCTCATGAATTCAAAGTCTAATTCTTTCACATTCGGAGCCAATCGAAGCCAAGTAATCAAGGTGATCGCCGTTAACCTACCGAGATACGAGGAGCAGAATTTCAGAGTTTTCACTTTGGTCAGCAGAGGAGTTATTGTTGTTTTTGTGCTCAGTATCTAGAAGAAAAATAGATATCATCATATTTCGAGGCTAAGAGCACGGCAGAGGGTCGATGGGAAATCAAGTTTTCGAAGAATCAATTGACGGAAATTACTGAAGACATGGAAAGCGAGCGAATCTCATTTTTCTTTATTGATCACGATGGAAGATGATATCAGAACTTCTACTAACCTTCATCAGAATTGTGTCCGGTGAGTCGAATTCGGAATGGTCACAACCCATTACTTGACCTAGTGCACAGAAGACAGGACCAATAAAATGGATAAGATCGAGAGTGATTGGTTGATCATCGCTGTTAGAAATCTCATATGATTCCACTTTTGTGAAGCGAATGAATGGTGAATCGAGTTGCTTTCGGTTCAATCTCCAGGCTTGGCGATCACTCGGAAAACGCCATTTAATCGGGAAAACACAAGGCATAGAGGCGATACAGATCGCACTATCGTCTCGGAAGATTAACACTGGTGGTCGCCGATCATCCAACCACCAGTCACTTTGAAATTGGCGTAATTGATCGACTACATCGAGTGCATCATCTTCCTCTTTAGCAGCAAAGGAAAGTTTTCTGAGCTGTGGACATGGTTCAAGGATTCTCGGCAGATGACGTCCATCGAATCCATTAGACCAATGAATTCTCAATGACAATTGTTCGAGAGACGTTTAATAATAACTAATCAGTCGATTGAGAGAATGGATATTGACTACATCTTCCTCATCAGAGGCAATATGCAACTGAGTTAAACACGGGAATTGTGGAATTAGAGGCAAGATAAAATTGAAATTCGAATTATCGTAAGTCGAGGAGAATCTCTTAACACTCAGAGAGGTCAAATTGGGAGCAAGAGCAGAGAGACAAAGCAAATCTTCTTCAGCACAAACATCTATATGTGCGTGCTTCATAGCCGGACAATGTAATGTATTGGGTATCACTTCTGTCTAAACAGTCACTTTGTTAAGAATACGAACATTTCACGGTGTTCGAACATGCATACCTGTTCCTGTTGTTCTCGTGCTCGGTCATCACTCTGAAAAGAAGACGTACGGTCATCTTCTAGATACAGAATATTGCAGAGACGAAGTATTTTCAAACATGAGAATATGGTAGCCAATGCCGAAGAACATTCGACACTCATTTGGATGGTTGCAAACGATGAACAACGAAGTACAACCCAACGAAGATTGGACAAAGTGTGTGTACGTGAAAAGACTGGTAATAATAGTTTTACATCGAATGAGAGCTTTTCAATGGCATTTTCTATGTTAAACATATAATCGATACACCACATCTCGGAAGTATCTTCAGGAATAGAAAAGTGACGAACCGATTCGAGAACGGTCGAATTCAAACGACTGTTGAGACCATAGAAGGCTTGAACAAGATCTGTTGAGCTCAAATAAGCTATGATCATGAACAGCAGTTCATTGGGTAATAGTTCCAAACCACTATTTTCATAAGTCATTCGATTTCGAGCAAATTCAGCCTTTCTTACCTTGAACGAACACCGAGATGAACTTGATTTTGATTATTGAGCGAAAAGAATTTTTTGTCTTCAGCTGTTCTCAGACTAGTCGAATATTTGGTTGCCATGGAAGACTGTATGATGAGACTGTTCCGTCCATTCTCTATTTTCAGTCGCTTGTTATTTATCTCATCGTATGCTGTTCAATAGAGAAGAAGTGTAATGAACCTCCGATATTTACAATCGATGTTACTACATGAGCTCGGTCGAAAAGTTGGGTGTGGGTGTTAGTATTCCCCTCATCTACACCCATATCCCACACCCACAAACTTGGAAATAAAAATGTTTTTAGTTCTTTGATCTCTATTCTTATGTTTTCTTTACTACTCTTCGAAAGAAATCTTAAGCGCACCACGCACTACAAAATGCTTGCGACGAAATCCATACAAAGATAACAGAGCAACAAACGACAAACATTATTTTCGACTAATGATGCCTATTGACAGAAAGAAAAGAAAGAAATCGTGAAGAGGATCTGGGTGTGAGTGTAGATTTCTTCTCTTCCCCACAGCCACACCCATACCCACACCAATAACTATACACTCGATTTGTTAGTCTCTGCAGAGAGTATGGTCTCAATGATGACTTTTATTAGAATTTAATAGACAGCAATACTCTCATCGCTTTCCATGAAGCAAAGTCGGAATTGAATAAGATTAGTACATTCTATAAACAATAGGTATTTCGATAATTAACACGCACAAATAAGTATCCGAACAATATAATGCAGACTGAAAATCACGAGTCGCCATTTCGAAAATGTCCAGTCGCGACGATGCAGCAGCCACAACGTCGCGGTCGACTCTCTAATATCAACTGGCTTAATCTTGCTCTATCTCTTTTTCTACCAATCATGTTCGGTGTGTTCAACATTGAACTGTTGCGCTGCATTAATTGAAATATAAAGAAGGAAGATGCATGGTTAGGAATGCTAGACACCAATTTCGAAATTGGTAGAATTTAACATGCTTTGAAGTAATGGATAAGGCAAAATAGCATCGAACTCTGCACTAGTAATATTTGGAAAAGGTCAATATCATGATCTGAAAAATTTTATGTTGATTGATACGATAAAAATCAAGCTCTTACTTATTCATTTCAATAAAAAGATACTAGCAATAACAATGATATTATTCATTTTGTTTTCTCTGATGGTATCAAAAATTTCTTTAACTTGTTTTCTGTTTCGAATAGTATTGATTTGTAAAATCGACACTCAGTAATTATGACTATCATCAAAAGATAATTGGGTGTGAGTGTGAATTTCATCCCTTCACCCACACCCTATTTAATCACAATAAGAATGCCAAAAACACAATTTTACTTAAGTTTCGACTTGTCGATACGTTCCAAAGCACATGGACGATATTTTCAATGATAAAATTTTTGTTCTATTTATGAATAGTTTTAGAATTTTGAAATCTTCAAAAACAAAATACTCTTGAATACAAAGATTTGTATAAATTAAAATATTAATCATCTTTTTGAATAAACAATCGATCAATACCATCGAAGATTACATTGAATTTCATATAATAGTAGATGTAAAAACATTCTGAGAAATACTTATTGTACAAATAAAGCAATCAATGTCTTTAAGTTTTTTTTTTTCAAAGAATAATTTCAACATCAAACATATGTGACCATCTATTATCTACTAAGAAGAGAGTCACATTGACAAAAAAGATTCATTTCACTTACGATGACATTTATTTAGAGAAATAGAATTATTTGAAAAGAAAAACAAATATCTATTCTAAAATAAGTCTCTTTCTCTTGTTTATTCATCAAATTTAACATAAGATTACGCTTGATTAGTATTTTATGTGAAAAGATAAAATAAATATATGTGTTTTATCTACTATGAAGACTAGAAAATTTGTACAAGAAATAAATAAATTAATGACCAAAGAGAAAAATTGTAGGCAAATAATTTTATTTAACATATATTAAAAATAAATCTTCTAATAATTGGTTTAAAAATTGATATTCAATCTATTAGTATTATTCATAACCATCGTTGACA